TTCTAAACATGACAATTGGAAAAATTTTGAAATTTCGTTTTGAAACTTTGTTTTTTCAATTTAAATAGAAAATCTTGAAATAAATATTAGAGAATTGTTTCCCAATTTCTATCTAATCAATTATCGGGTCAGTTGTCAGTTTTTTATTTCAATTGTACTTAAATATGTTGTATTATAATTAATGTGCTTAGATAATATTGAGCTAGTTTTTTTTGAAAGTAGCATAAGTTCATTTTTTTTCAAATATATTGAGATATTTAAGAGTTTGTGTTTGAATCAATATAAAAAAATATTGGCTATTATAACATAATTGAAATTGTGATTGTAATTGTGGAGAGAACTTGTCAATAGTTCAACAAAGTTACCATTAATTATTTTGATTTATAGTACAAAAATAAATTTATAATTGGCCTTTAAAATTGATCAGAGATGAGGTTATCAGGTTTTGCAAAATTTTCACAGATTTTAATTTTTAAATGTGATAAATAACCTTTATGGGGCATGTATTTTTTAAGAACCGTGATATAATCCAAAAGAAAAATTGGTAGATTTCATTGAAGGTTGAATACATATTTGGATTATATTGTTATTTTTGTAAAATAACTTATAACTATTAACGTATGTGAGATTTGATATCTGGTATAAGAAAGTGTTTTATTTGTTCACTATTAAATTATCTACTATTTATGTTCAATAGAACTAGTAGGCAATAATACTACAAATTAAATTATATTAAATTATGACAATTAAACTATATTTAATCACGGCATTGATATATCGAAAGACTGCATTTTAAGTTTTTCAACTTTCGAAATTTTTACGTACACTTACAGTCACGAATAACGTGAATCATGTGTCAACAACGTGAATAATGAATAAGGTAACTTTACCTAAGGAATAATCGAAATTTACCTGAGGATAATCAGCAAAGTAATAATAAAGGTCATACAATCCTGACCAATAACTTATGATTAAATTTTAATTTTCATAGAGCGATGATTCCCATATGACACGTACTGCCGCATCTCTTCCAAAAAAATGTCATTCATATTTACAAACAAAAACGGTCACGGTCAATCATTATACAATAATTTAGTCACTATATTGATTAAAGTATGAGTCTAATTCTTATTTTTGAAAAGAGGAAATCTGAGTGCAAACTCTGGCAACATACGGTGAAATCTGTAACAAACGGTTTTCTATAAATACAATGAAATCTGAGGAATCTTACCATAGATGTCAATTTCTAATTTAACTCACTTCGTTAAATTGAAATGAATAAATGCAGGGTTAACTTGGAGAGGTTCTTCTATGTGTTATAAATGTACCTTTGGTTATAAAATTATAATTTTTAATTTGTAGATTTACAAATTTGCATTTATTTTTTATGGTAAGACTTATAATGCACAAAGTATTGATACTGTTGCTATATTTGACTTGACAAACTAAAAATTTTAAATTTTTTAAAATAAATGCAAATTATTTAATTGGATTTTCGTTGTTGTTAAATAATTTAAAAAATTTTTTTTTTTCATATTCCAACGGGGATATGGATATCTAATATCGTAAAATGATTGTATTTTTTAGATCATTTTAAGACCTAATATAATTGTTGATTTCGTTATATAGCAATTGAAAATATATTATGTAGGTTGTAAATTTTTATTTATAGTGGTTTGCATATCATGAAAATTGAAAGATAATAAAAATATAAGAAGGTCATAAATTCGAATTATAATAAGATTTTCATGTTACTCCAAAGTATTTTTTAATGAAAAATTAAATATACCCCGATATACTTACACATAACCAATATGCATTATAATCCTAAAACATAGATAGGGTAGTTTATTCCAGTATGAAATTTAACTTAAAAATTGCACATCGAATGAATTGTACACTAATAATTTAGAATATTTTGACTTGAGAAAAACCTTATTGAAAACACAATTTGAAAAAATCTATATTAATAATTAGAAACCAGTTAATATAGAAAATATACCTAATACCCAAATAGTTATTCTACTATTTATACAAAACATTCTTAACATTATTACATCATTTCTATAAAACAGAATGTGTCAACTCTATATATTTTACCTACCCACATATACATAACTCTCTATTTATTGTAATAAATTTCAATACAATTGTAGTTAATCTTTTGTAATATGCAAAAAAAAAAATTTCCTTAATAAAATTTTCATCACTTTTTTCTTATATATAATAATAATTATGTGTGTGACTATTATATCAGTATATTTTGTATAATAAAATTCGACAATCGCTTTGATTTTCATCGATATCCATGTTTACTAAAAATATAGTTAAATTAAAAGAGTTAAAATTCTAAATTAAAAATTTAATTAGATTGAATTTTTAGCACATTTGCAAGAATATAAAAAAAAAACAAGAGTGTTTTATAGTTTCACGTCTGTCCATTCATCCGTTTGTTAGCGTGATTATTTTACAAGACTTCTACATATTGTAATGATAAGGTTTGTTTATTTCGTTCGGCAAAAATTTTTTTGCAACGTCTGTTCCGTACTGTACTGTAAGTTATCGCCTTTGTCAAAATTGGTAAAATTTCAATTGTCAATTGCTTTAATTCCCAAAAGTGCAAGCTATTTCAAATTTTTATAATAGCAAAACGAAAACAATAAACGCCCTGTCTTAAAAATATACAATTATTAAATTTAAATTGAGGTTCAATTCTGCGAATTCGACCATGATATTAAAGCTGTTTTCTAATTTTTTAACTAGTTTTTTTTTCTCCGAAAAGTATGCAAAAATAATTTTTTTCGCGCAGCCAGATACAGTTATAATAAAATATTAAAAAACTTATTTGATACTTTACAAGGCAGCGGTTTTGTCCAGATTCATTATTTTCCCCTTCTCGAATCTTAAGGTAAATTTCAATCACTTCTCAAAATTTCAATTTTCGGCAATTCGTGCCTCGGAAATTTAATGTCCTTAACAATTGAAAATTAAACTCCTTAACAAGAAATATATAGTTATATAAATATATAGTTTCGAAATACCCAATCACTGATATAATTCTATTAATTTCATCCTAAAAGTATGCAATAACAATTAAGATCATGTTTTTAAAAAACAAAAGCTGTACTAACTTCACTTGTAAATGTGCTAATTTACAAAATTTTAATTTGGTCCGAATTTATTTAATTTTAACTTACCTATATGTACACATTAATATTATGCTGTAATTTGCATTAATGCTAATATAGAATAATAATAATAAACAAATTATCTATAACAGCATAATTAATAATTTATATAGCTATATAAATTATTAATTATTATTAACTATGTAGAGAAATGTTATTTTTTTTTTTTTTTATAATATAAGAGTTTTTAAAAATAAAACTCTATATTATATTAAAGGAAAATTCTATAACTATTTTCTTAATATATTTTTATTTCTATAGAAATTTTCAAATTCTAATAATAATTTCTGTGTTATTGTGTGTGTTCTATATGTTCTTGTATATTTATTTGTTTGTATTATTATTATTTCACTATCTAATTATTATATTATTATAATTTTCAAAATTTTTATTATTCTAATTATGCTTAAATTATTATTATATTTTAGAAAATACTAAAAACTTATGTATTTAATTAATATTTTATTTTATTATATTCTATGGTGTTTGTGTTTTGTTGTCTTTTTTAATATATCATGTTCTATATACACTATATATATGTTATTTATAAAAATATAACAAAATTGTTTTTACTATTATATTATTAATAATTATAATATTATATAATATATGCATAAAATGTGTACGCTTTAAAAATATTATAATATAAAAATATTAAATATAAAATAATTATTAAATAAATATTTATTCTGTATCCAATTTTTGAAGGATCTATCCAATTTTAGTAATTCAAGCAATTTCTAATATAATAATGCTTTGAATTTAAAAAAAAATCAACATTCAATATAACAGATATATATGAGTGTGGTTCCTAACTAATACTGTAGGTATACATATATATAAAATTACTATAATTTTTTCCATGCAAGTTTCACTCGATCTTCAGGATTAGATTCAATTACCATATTCAATACTTTTAATATTATTACCCTATTACTAAATGCCTATACTATTTCTAATACCTATCTATATAAAACAAACTGTAAATAAAAATTTCTAAAATCATTTCTGTTAAAAGCTTTTTAAAATCATTATTGAAAATACTATCTAGAGTCTTTATTAGTACAAAAGATCATAATATTGAATAAAATGCTTTATGCTAATTAATATTTGCTTATATTTTCTTTATGCCATATAAAGTAGTATAAAACATGCACTTTATATTTTAATAATTGCAATATTTGCATAATATTGAAAAAAACTCATATAATATATATTATTAACTCTATATACCACACTCTATATTAAAGAATTATATATTTTCTAATATTCTAATTACAGTACTTATAAACTATATTTGGTATTTTTAAAAAATTAAGAAGATGAACGAAATTAATGCAATAAATTAATTTAAAATATGAATGTTTTATTAATTTTAAATTGTTATTTATATTTTATATTTAATATATTCGTAGAATTAAAACTAACATAATATATACATATATATATATGTTAAATTATTCTAATACTATTATATTATTATAACAATTATCTTAATGTATAATTAAATTATTTTCAAATAATTAACAATATAGCATTTAGTTATAGAATTATGGCAGAAAGTTCAAATTTGAATTTTTGTACAATGAAACACTTACTTCATTTTCGAAAATTTTAATTTTGATTTCGAAATTTTAATTGCGGTATTTTCGAATTACTATTATATCAGTATAAATCAATTCAAATTTGAACTTGCAAAAATAAGAAATTTAATTTAAAAAAAAAAAAGAAATTTATTTTGAAATAATATTAATTAATTTTATTTATTCTTAATTATTTTTTATTTCCACAATACAAAAAAAAAATACATAGGTTAGATCAAATACTTGGTAAACAAGGATCAAAAGCAAAAGACGTTTATGCATCAAAAATTAGTTTAGCGTCCCGGGTAGTTAAAGTGGAAAGACAAGTAAGTATCCTAATTATATTCTGGAATTTTAAACTGGGATTTAAAATTAGACAAATTACTCATCAAACACAATTTACAAACATATTATTTTGCACATTTTTTAACAATTTCATTTCATTATTATTTATTTTGTATATTGTATAGGTAGCGGATATTGAAGAAAAATTAGACATATTGATTAAGGCGTATATGCAAGACCGTGAAAGGTTTTTATCTCTTCCATTAGTTTCTCAACAAATTCAACATTCCAATTCAAGCAATAATAATAATAATAACAATAATAATAATAATAGTAATAATAATAATCAAAATCCACCAGGTATTGGTGGTATAAATACTGGTACATTAGCTATTAGTGCTACTACTGGTGCAATTACAGCTATAGGTGCTACATCGACAAGTACAAGTGGTGCATTAAAAGTAAGTTTTATAAATATATAAATTAATATTTTTTTCATAATAAAATAATTATTTTTTTTTTTTTTTATTATTAATATATTTTTCAGCCTAAACCTATTTTAATAGATAATAAACAATTTTCGGAGCCGAATTCTCCAATATCGAAAACTTTCGATGAAAACGTCCAATCACGTCCTCCTATGAATCGGGGCTATTCAGATTTAGGAAATCGTATTAAAAAACGTGTTACTTTAAGGTATATATTTATAATTTATTATTAATTATAATTTTATTAAATAGAATATTAATTAAAAAATATAGTTAGTTCTCAATTTATTGCTATTATATTTTTTTTTATAATATCGTATATATTTTGTATTTTTCTCATTTATTATATAATTTAACATTGTATGCTATATAATTTATTTATTTTTATAAAAAAACAAAAAAAAAAAAACAGTTCAATACCACCACAGTATGTTGAAACAAATTCCGATCAACCGGATGATGTTGTAATTGTAGTGCCAGATTTAGAAGTAGATCAATTAGAATCAGTTATAGTTGGTGATATTCCTGATAATGACGATGTTCTTGAACAAGATATTGAACCAGGAAGTCCAAAAACTACAACTGAAAGTTCTAGTGAGTTAAAAAAATAATAGTGTTTGAAGATGAAGAAAAAAAAAAATAAATTATAATAAAAAAATAACATGTGTATAAAATATATTTTTATTTTGCTTTGTTTTTTTTTTATTTTTTTTTTGTAATTTAATTTTAATTTTATTATTCTTATTTACAAAATTATAAACCAACTACTATATACCAAAGGTACTGCGGAAAGTATTTTCGAGCACTATAATAATTAAAATAATTTATTAAATTAAAATTTAGGATTTTAGAAATCAATCATTTTATGCAGCCTGGCTGCATTTTAAAATCGAATTTCAAATTTAGAAGTATAATTACTTGCCTTTGTCTCAATTTAAATAAATTATTCAGTACCGCATATTTTGCATAATTCTTCAATTATCTCAAAAATTATAGAATTAATTTCTGTATTTCGTTCAATAACCACCTGCCTTCCAAGCATATAACTTCAATATTTCTCATATATAAATATTGTATAACAAGCATGATTAATAACTTTGGGTGTAATAAGCCAAGACATTTCAATATTTTATATTTTCGAGTTTACACTCATTTATATTATGTATTTTAACATGAGTACTGTTATACGTATAATAATTTATATCAAATAAGACAATTTGCAGTAATAATATGCAGTCATTTTAATAAAAATTGAAAAATTTTGTTATAATTCACATTATACGCACCCATAGATACTAAATTATTTTTACATTTTTGAATAAATTTTTTTTTATATTTTTAAATTTTCACTCCAAAATGGCAAAACATTATATTTTTATTTAAAAAAAGCTCATTTAAGTAAATATTTTTTTATATTCACATTTTGTTTCTCTTCTTTTATTGTAATAAATATTTATGTATAATTATATTTTCTTAAAAATAAATTCTATTATACAATAAATCTTAAAAATACAGTTTATTTAATAATAAGTTCTTTACAAAATTGATTTTTTTCTTTTCTCAAATATATTATTATATATACCTATCTATTACATATATTAAATTTTACATTATATTTTATACTCATATTAACCAAAATTCAATATTATTTCAAACAATAATATTTAAAAAATAATTACAGCTAAACATAATATGTTTAACACCGCATATTGTTGATATTAACAAGAAAAAAAAAATATTAATATTCCTAAAATTTATTAAAAAAAAACAAACATTTTGTTGTTTATTATTTGTTTTTATTTATGTATTTAATATATGTATATTATAATTTTAAATAAATTCTTATATATACAACAATATTTGTTTCGGTATATTCAAAAAAAAAATAAAAAAACAAATAAGTGTATATGTAAATATTCATAACATTATATATGTATAATTAATAAAATATAATATATTTTTATATAATGTTATACAATAATACATAAAATTTATAAATAAACTATAAACTTGTATTAACACAGTATATACGTCCAGTTATATACATTGTATACAACATAAATACAATATGAGATGTCTCTCGTATCTGTTAAACAGTGATTAGGATTTTTCAACAATTTTTGGTAGATATACAAGGAAATTAGATAAACGCCATTACAATTAGGTATAAGAAAATTCATAAATAACTCGATCTCGGGGTACCCGTATTTCTAAAATGATATTTGCCACTTAGTTGCCAGAACTGTACTTGAGCAAAGTACATCCCGCATCGTATCTCTTTCAAATCAACAAGCTTAATTTTAAGCGGTTTCGCCATTTCATTAAAAAATTATCTCTAATGCTGAAAAACGTCTCTGATTCCAATGCTTTTGTATTTGCTCTCGGTGTTCTCATTCCAATACTTTTGTTTCCATTCGTATAAAGTTTGGTAACACCTCCCTTATTGTGACGAATTCCGCCTCAAAGGCGCTTCGTTTTTCCATCTTTCACTATGGAAGACGGAAGGATATCTCTACACCAAGTTTTGTGAAGCCTTTAATCTAAACCCTGTTATTTATAGATTAGATCTCTTCATACAAAATTTTCCCGATCCACCCGTCAGATGTTTTCTTCTATTAGGTTAGCTCAGATGCGAACAAAATGTCAAATTCATTTTTGAGATGTTAATGAAAGCACATGAGAGACAGAGTCAACATTATTCTTCCGGTTCCAATGAGGTTTTGTATGGCTCCCTGAAGCATAAAAGCATTGTAATGCACGGACGATTCTGTTGTCATTCGTTTTGCGAAAAAATCGTTTTTCATAAACTTGAAAAGTATATTAATAGTGATCGTTTTGCATCGCAAGAAATCATCCACGCAAACGTCGTACGCCGTTATGTAGTATACCATTCCAGACCTCTAACTTTTTATTCATGCCGCTAAATAACCTGTGTTGAATTTCATTCTGACATGAAATTAAGACAAATTTATAGTTCATGTTACCACCTATCACTTATTTTTTTTTGTACAATATTAATTTTAAGAAAATTTCATTTTGAGACATCTTGTATATTACGTAATATTATATATATATAGTATATTATATATATTATTGCGTACATATGTATATATGTATAAAAACATATAAATATATATATGTATATTTTCTATTTCCATTTCTTTCATTTCTTTCATTTTGTTTTGGTTTTTTTTTTTTGTTTCTTTATTTATTTTAATTATACTAATATTATTCCAGCATCATGTGATGGGTATTCATCGACAACATCCTTATAGCAACGACAGGATATTCAATGCAATCAACATAATAATTATGTTACAATTTGGGATGGGACCAATTATCAAGCTTATCATTATGAAGATGATCAAACAACGCTTATTTAATATAAATTTTATATATAAAGACTAAAAAAAAAAAAAAAAACAAAAAAGAGAATATAAAAACAAAAAACAAAAAAAAAAAAAACAAATAAAAATTAGTATAAATGTAATATAAAATTAATAATATAAACAAGGAAAAAAAATACCGTAATATTTGATAATAATTTTTTATTATTATTTATTTATTTATTTACTCTTTTTTTTGTTTTTTTTTTCTTCTTTTCTTTTAATGAATTGATTTTAATTAAATAATAACGCACGTACGTTGAAAAGGTATAGCAAATGATTGGTTCCAGGAGGAAATTGTATACATTTTTCTTTTTTTTTGTATTTTCTTCATTTGTTTTTGTTGTTGTATTACACGGTAAATAAAAATGAAAAAATGATTATAAACGAATTAAAGGATTGCATTGAATAAAAGCCATTAAAAAAAATTATTTTATTAAAAAAAAAGATAAAAAAGTAAAAAAAAGATAAAAAAAATAAAAAAGGAAAAAAAATTTAAGTTTTTAAATTACCGTGCAAATATCGTAAATGCAAGTACCGTTAATCGAGAATTACCGATAGATTATAAAACAAACAAATAAAAAAAAAACAAAACCCGAAATATTGAATCGAAACGATAAAAATATTGAAAAAGATTTACGAAAAATTTATTACGAAAAACGTCCTTTTGCTAGTGAGTCCTTTTCTTTTTGTTTTTATAAAACTAACATATTTAAAAGAATATTATAGTTGTTCGTAATTTTTTTTTTTTTTTTTTGTGATAATAACGTTGTTGTTTTTTCTTTTTTTTTTATTCCTTATTGTGTAAAAATAATCAGTAATGCAAATCAATTTACTTATATAATTTTTGTCAACGTGTAATAAATAAATACTTGTATATGCATACATGGGTGTACAAATGTATGTATTTATGTATATGTATAGTAGAGTATTACAATATTTATATAAAATGCAAATTTATCACTTTTATAATAATTGTAATAGGTACACGTGTAACGTATATAGGTGGTATATGCTTATCAAGAATTTTAAAATCAAAAAATCAAATATAAATTTTGTTTTTTATTTAAATTGTTACAGAACTCAATACTGTTTGGAATGCATTTTTTAATAAATAATTTTAATTTTAGAGTTTTAATTTTAGAGTTATGGAATTATTCTTATATGAGAGTCTCTAATTTTAAATTCAAATTTTTTATATAATTTGCTTAAAAATGTTCAAAAAATTTCTTTTTGAAAAATTAAATTCTAATTTAATATTTTTTATAAACAAACACATAATTATGAAAATTTTTTGTAACCGAGCTTTCGATAGAGTTTAACAAATAAATAAATATTAAATTTAAATTAACAGCATGTGTTCCGTTAACTTAAACAAAATGTAATTTAGAAACTAAGGGAATATGAGTTGAAAATAAGAACATTTTGATATGAAAGACTCCGGTACAAAACTTTATTCGACGGCTTTTCGAGTTCGACAAAACATTTTCCAAAAAAAGTTAGTTGTTTTATAAAAAAAACTGACGTAAAAATTTATTTTATATACAAAATTCTTGATAGGTGTGTATTTGTTGCATTCGTATATCAACTTTAATATCTAAATGTTTTTTTGTTATACTTTATAATACTGAAAATTGTGCATTAATAAACTTAAAAACTAAATCAAAACAAATAATAATTAAAATAAAAATAGTAATTTTTTTTCGGATTAAATTTAAAATAAAACTTTAATGACTATAAATATGGTGATATTAATCTTTCTATTTAATATACAAATCTTTTATTCATTTAAATAATATTGCTCTTATGGTCTTAAATTATAGCAGAAATTTCCAAAATGTATAACAGAATTTTACTTTTATGCAAACTATTCCTTCATATTATTGTACAGCTCGTTCAATATATACTATACATATAATATAAAGATGATACAAACAAACTTCAAATAAAAAAATTAAAATATTAAATAAATATAATGCTATATAATTGGATGCTAAATTATTACTTTAAAATAATGATAAACTAATTAAATTAATATTTAGCCGATAAAAATGAAAATAATAAATGCATGCGTTGATGTCCAATTGCACTTAAATCATATATATATATGTATATATCATACGTATATATGATATTTTTTTTTCAATATTAATGAATATCTGTAAGATGCTGTAAATTATGCAAAATACAAAAAACATTAATTATATTAATTATACCTAAACACATCATGTTAATATTAAAATACCAAAAAATATATTTTCGATCAATTTAATTCTTTATAATTTTCAAATATTACCATATTTATTATTTCCATATCACATAAAATGAGAAAAAAGAAAATTATTTTATTGGTTTTATACACTAATGTACATTTTAATATACATTGTAAACTACATTATTATATACAATACCCTTAAACGAGTAGTTATAGGTAGCTTTAATGCATAATGATTATATTATTATGTATAAAAAAAATTATTCAAATTGAATAAAATATTAAATTTTATGTAATTTTTAATTTTAAATTTTGACTTCTTATACATTGTAACACTAGATTCAATTATAATACGTGAAATATTAAATTAACTTATCAATTAAATTACATTTACTCTATTGAAAAATTAAAGTACACACTCTGATGAGGACGTATTAGTACCACAAAAATACACTTACTCTCGGTTACACGTACCAGTCCCACAAAAATACACTTATCATTTTACGGAAACTTTTGGAATCGACATGAGGAGACGTGACGTGACGTGACTTGGCGTGACGTGACTTGTTGTGACGTAACTTGGCGTGGCTTGACGTAACGTGACGTAACGTGACGTAACGTAACGTGAAGTAACGATGTGACGTAACGTGTCGTGACGTGATTTGACGTGACGTGATTGGAAGTGGCGTGACGTGACGTAACGTAACATAACGTAACGTAACATTACAATATGATGTAGTTACTCAATAATAGCGATTCTGCTAGTTCGAAATTGAGAAATATACTATAATTAGAGAGTTTGAGAAAGAAAACGAATTAATCTCTATAATATTGGTGAATAGTTGTCTCAAGGTTTTTTCTTTTCGATAGTTATTCACTCCTTAATTAGTCGCTCAGAGACGATAATATTTTCTCTTTAATACAATAATTCTCTTTAATGTACAACGATCTCTTGTATAATAAGTCAAAAATATTTTATTGCTTTAATTAATTTTTTTTTGTTCCATAACACTTAACAATTTAGAAACACCAATACTTCCAAAATACATAAAAAGTACTTGAATATAATACACAATACATTTTATTTTTGTAAAAATACCCATTATGTAAAACAAAACTTTAATAGCAAATTTTATCTTTTAATTTAACTTACAAATTATTTATTTTTATACATATGTGTTTTCTGTATTATCTCTATCTATTATATATATATTTAATAATATCAATTTGTATAAGACTAAACAAAGAAATTGGATTTTTTATCTTTCCTTTCTTTCAAATACCTACATAACTATTATATGTACATATATAACCTATATATATTATATATAAAATGTTATATATTTAAATATTTTATTGTTTTTGTGTTTAAATCGAACATTTTTTATTTTTATTTTGTATAATTACCTTTTGATTACATTATTAAAATATTTCATTTAAATCAATTCAATTAATTTCAAATTAATAGTAAAACAAAACAATTTTTTTTTTTTTTTGCTATTTTAATGTAGCAATTATAATGGATGAAGAGGTTGAAGATATCGAAGAAGAAGATTTAGATTGTGAAGGTGAAATGGATCCAGAATCACCACCATGGGATATATATGGTGAAGGTGATATTGAAATTGATTGTGATGTTGAAGAATCAACAGAGGATACTGCCTTATTAAGGACAGCATTAAAAACTGAAATAATTGTAACACCAATTAGTCCGGTAAAGAATTATTGTTAAACTTAATTTTCTACCATATATACATACATAAATACATTATACATAGCATATAGCATATAAATTAATATATACAGTAAAAAACATCAATACACAATCATAAAACATATCTAATTGTTTTCGTTTTGAATAATAGAATGTGAGAATATAATTTAAATATTGTTTTTCTATTTTAATATTTTTAAAAAAGAACATTATTTTAATTGTATTCAAATTTCATTTAATTAATTTCAATTGAAATACTCTTAATTATTTATAAATAATTACATTTAATTTTCTATATTGTATTCTTTTCACGTCATAATTATAATTATGCATTATTCATTAAAAAAAAAAAAATTTTTTTTTTATTTTTTAAATTTTTATTTTTTTTTAACAATATGTAAAAATTTTATAAAATTTTTTTATACTTTTATATTTGAAATATATATACGCATAAATTAGTAAATTTTAATTTTATATTTTCATTGTATACCTTACATTGTTATACATGTATTAAATGTGAGTTTTTTTCATTGTGTTTAAAATTTTGCATGTAAAAATTTCAGCTCTTCTAATGCTTTAAAGTTTTTTTTTATTTTTTTGTTTGTTATAATCACTTCATAACCCTGCTATACGAGTAGAAGACCTCGTATGTTAAAAAGTTCTTCCAACATTTTATGTTTGATATTGTTTTTGTTGCCATCCGACACCGTGATCTTTGTCCGTCATCCGACATTTTTTTAGGGCAAAACAATTTTTGTTCAATTAATATATAAACTATATTAATTTTCAAATTGTATTTAGTTTGTATGATTTTTGGTGATCATAATAATAAATTACAGATTATCATCAAAAATTGGTCTTTCAAAAAAATTCTTCCAAACTTCAGTTTTACGGTAAAGTTCATTTAAAATTTTAATTTGTTTAAACTTCTGCTGAACAAGAAATCGGTGTATAATAAAACTGTCAGGTTTGTCGCTTTAAATATCTTTTTATAATTATTTAAATTGTATACATACTTCAGAAGCAAAATGTTATTTCTTAATTAGTTAACAAGTCAACATAATTTAGAGACATTGTTATCAACATTGTTATTAACACTTAAGAAAATTTTAAATTTGTAAACCATTTATGTGTTTGCAGCTATTACAATTAATATTTTTGGTTTCGACCACAAAATATGGAAGATGCATTTTATTTACATTCTGATATAGAAATTAAAACGACAACAATATTTTCCAGAAAAAAAAACAATATTTTACAATTTCTTGTCTCTAATATAAATAATGTGTCTCCTAATCTTCGAATTATGTGCGCAAGATTATTTTCCAAAAATACAAATTGATTTTTTTTATGCAAACGAACTTTTCAAGGAGACCTCTACAGTAACTCTTATAAAATTTTATCGGACCAAATTGAAATTATATATATATAATTGGTAAAATCTATTTGGGAAATATTTTTCAAAATTTATTTTCAAATAAATTCGAGTTTTAA